TATATATATATATATATATATATATATATATGGAAGCAATTTATCCTGCGCTATATCGGTTTTGTAATTCTGTGAAGAGACTTTACGTTTTCATTTATTATGAAAATGAATGAACAATTCCAGAAATGACGAGTTTTCTTTGAAGTTGTGTTGTTTCGGAACAAATTAAAATATGTATTATAAGCTACATGTGATTGTATCTCAAAAAGGAAAAAGTTGGACCCTGTCTGTGATACAGGACTCCTCTTCAGTATGCTTCGTATAGCTTCTCTGATGCACAGTTGAAAAAAAGTCAGAAAAGTACGATGAAGATTATGGAATAATGTTTCAGGTTGTCTTTTCTATATGTGTATATGTTAGAAATCGATAAAAACAGAAAAGAGATCTAGCTTTTGTACATAAAGGGTGACTCATTTACTTAATATAGAGCATTTCACAAACTAAAAGAGGGACGGGGTAAGCAAATGGCAACTTCATCTACTCCAGGCTTGGTTGTCCATTTAAATTCTTCTCATCCGGTTATGAAAAATATGGCGACTTCAAGCAAGACAGTATCTGCTGTCACTTCTCTTGAGATTCTGTACTCTAGAAGAGACGTCACAAGCCTGGGCGCTGCCACCGCAGTGGGCCCAGGAGTGGCGGCTTCATACGACGAGGACAACAACAACAACATCGATACAACAACTACCGATACTCATGAATTAGATGCACCACTTAGTATTCCTCGCACTACGCCACTTCACAATGTGTTAAATACTGTTAAACCCCCTTCTTCACGTGGCTTGAAACGAGACAAGGTGGCCTGGCGCTGTGGGCTCTGCGGTTACTTGATGCTGTCCCTGGATCAAGAGGGTAGCCCAATACCTCTTGCATGCTCCGCCTTCGGTACACCGTTGCCTCTGGGCTGTCCACGTTGTTCAAAGACGCACACCAACTGGGAGAGTGCAAGCCCTTTTGATGCTTTTGGTGCAGATATTAACTTACGCAATGCCCATCGACTCAGAGTTGGAACGCAGGGATTATCTAAACTTTCATCATCTATACCCTATGTTACCCCTCTGCCATCTAGTGTTTCTCGCGAAGAGGTGGATCTCAATGATCCTTCTAGTAAAATTGGAAGGGCCGATCCATCCAGGATCCCCACAGAAGGGCAAGACGGCGTTATAGCATCCGCCTTACCGGACACTTTTTGCAGAAAGACTACAGATGTAAGTCAAAAGCAGTGCTATCATTGTGAACGATGCCATCGGCGTTTGTTACGGGTCGATGCTTGGGGCAAGTTGATACCAATGAATTGTGGCGCTGACGGCAACGTTCTACCGATTTTATGCCCTGGTTGTGGTGTGTTGCATAGTGAGTGGACAATAGGGCCTTTCCGACATTGATTCACTACGCGAAGGTGCAGACCAAGAATATAAGATACTTATCAAAGGCATTGTTTGGATATTCAATATTTGTTTATCTTGCTTTGAAGCTGAATCTTTTTCTTGAGGAGCTTATTGATTGATTATATGTATATGTATAATTCTCCATTTATTTTATCCTATATATTTGTAGGAATTCACCGATCAAATAATGCGGTCTCCAATTTTATTTTCTCAAAATACTTGAAATATATGTTAGGGCCTCATGTATCTTAAGTACAAATAAGGTGGAAAGGGGGGGGGGGGTTGTACATTCATATTTATACCTTCATACTCCTTGTGCGCACATATCATGTACGAAAGAGTCTTATTTGTTCATTATCCTTTCCTGCATCACACTATATCTGTAAAAGTTTTGTTGGATTTATGGATCGTGTTGTATCTTGTAATGGCCCTTGTATATAATATACTATGCAAATTGACCTTTTTAAAACTTTAGGAACGATAATACAATAATAATTTAAGCAAGTAATTTGCATACTTATAAGTTATGATTTTTGCATTTCCTGTATTGGCGGACACGAAAACTATATATGATAGTGTGTTAATGAAAAGCATACTCCTCCTTCCCGGTGCGATTCAGGGTGTAACAAGCGTTCTTATTGGTCATCCTCTTGATACCGTCAAAACGCGGATGCAAGCGAGGGGTCCCTGTGTTAGTGCTTCCACCTTTACAACGATTCTAGGGATCGTATCCCATGAGGGGTGGCGCAGCTTGTACCGAGGAGTCACACCGCCGTTGATCATTATGGCTACAAAGCGGAGCATCCAATTCGCACTGTGGGATGCTCTCTGTAGAAATCCCTTTGACAAAGGTTCGTCTTCGCCATCCCAATCCTACCTTACTCATTTATCGTGGTGTACAAACAACTCATTCGTGTCTGGTGCGATCGCCGGCGGCGCTGGTACCGTAATTGGATGCCCACTGCACGTGGTCAAGATACAGACGCAAAATGTAACCAGATCTCACAGTCGTAATTCAATGACTTCTGCTCGTCAAATCATTGCCTTGGAGGGGCTTAGGGGCTTCTATCGCGGTTTCAGGTATCATTTGCTCAAGGATGTATGCTTCGCAGGGACTTTCCTTGGATTGTACGACACGTTTAAGCGGCTCTGGCTTCGCTTCTGCAACAATAGTTTCGCTGCATTTGTACCTGGGGCGACTGCAGCCATGATAACCTGGACTTTGCTGTATCCGATTGATACCGTCAAGACTCTCATCCAGGCACGTCAAGAGCACCTCTTGTCCGAGCTATTTACCGACACTAGAAGGCTTTATCGTGGTCTTGGTGCCACATTGATAAAAGTGGGTCCGATTCTTGGTGTCACAATGGTCGTTTATGATGTAGTAAAGCGCCAAACGGATGCATGGGTCAGGTTTTACTCGAAGGGGACTCTTTCCTCATGAAACCCATTCATTGCAATTGTATGCCATATGAAAGTCAAAGTTGCGTAAGTGGTGTGTCTACAACTCTAATCCCATTTACATGATAATTTCATTCATCTTATCTAATTTTCTTCACATTTGTAAGATTATACAAGATGGTCGTATTGAGAGAAGGGATACCTCAGGAAATTTGAACACGCTACATTCCAAAGTGAAGTCATTTTACTATCCAAATCGACGTAATTTCTCAATTTTCTTTACATATGCTTATAACCCCTCTTCGCATCGTGTGCTAGTTGATGATTTGACATTACTCAAAATTTATTAACGATCTCCTGAAAATTGATTTGTTATGAAATAACCCTCCCAAACTTGGAGGGATAGGGTAAGCTTGTTGTTCTATGGCACTTTTATGTGTGTCTGTGCGTGGAAGAGGAGGGAGGAGCGCATTGATTGCAACGGAAATAACGAAAAAGAACTCCCATTACTGTAAAAATATTGGTAAAGTGATTCTTATGGATCTGAATACTTCTAACCTTTTTTCTCGCCATTCTGTTTCTCCTAATTGCTCCTTCAAAGGTCCTCAGCTCTGTGGTGGTAAATACACCGACAAGGATTCTTAATATTACCCCTGGAAGAGAAAACAAGATTATAAACAATAGTGGATTAACTATTTCTTTTTGCAGCGAAGATGAGCAACAAAAAAAGTCAGATCAATAAGGTCCCTGACACGGCCCCAGATAAAAGCATAAAATATTACCCTGATGAAGAGCTTGCTGCTCTGATCCGCTCACTAAACCGTGATGAGGATCACCACATATTTGCACAGGATGTGCTTCTTACGTATCCCTATCTAGCTGAGTCCTACACGAAGGTGTGCCCTCAACGTTGTGATCTCGCCACAGCGGTTTCTAAGGCCCTCAATGGTGACTACGGTTACAGCCCCAACCTGTTAGAGCTGCGAAGTGATCTGCAGCTTATGGTAAATAACTGTGTGCGCTTCAACGGCAGCGAAAGCCCTTTGGCTGAAACTGCGGAGAGTTTTGAAAGTTTTTTTAATAAAAAACTGGAAGAATACGTCCAAAGCAAAACATGTGGTCGACGCATATCATCTCTGCGTCTTCAGCAGCAGCGGCAACAATCACAAAAACAACTTTCCACATTGCAAGAAACTTTGTTATCAAATCACCAATCTTTTATTAATCGCGATGTTGTGATTCTTGTGAACTCCCTTGTGAGGCGCGAGGACGCAGGGGCTTTTGTTGTCGACGTTGCTGCGACTTACCCAGAGCTTCGGCAAAGCTATAATGCAACTTGCCCGAACCCGATGAACCTCAGAATAGTAAAGGAGCGTGCACAGGCTGGCTACTATATTCGACCTGCTGTTACCGCAACCAATGAACACTCCCAGGATATCAGTAATGCTGTGTTGGCGGGTACGTGTTGCGGTCCGACGGTTGCGGACTCGTTGGCTGCCCTGCGGGAGGATATTGAACTCATCGTAAACAATTGCATTCGCTTCAATGAGAAGATTGAGAGCTGGGTGAGCTTGGCGCGGTGCTTTCAACGATTCGCACACCGGCGGATAGATGACTTTGTACTGCGTCATGAACCCGGGTTGCGCGGGACCCCAACCGGGGCTGAACGCTACTGTCCCTCTGACGATCATGTTGCGGGCAACAAAAATCCTCCAAGTAAAGATATAGAGTCGAGCGATGCGGTCACAGGGTCTTCGTCTTTATCCATTGAGGAGCACCAGGCTCAGCATGCACTGCCAGCCAAGGAAAATACACTGCATAGTGGTGGCAGTCGTGGGCAACATACTGCGGAAGGTGATACCGATATGGATCCTGTTGCAATGGCACCAAGAGGTCTCGTTGACAATAAAACGAAAACACTGAAGTGGGCCGAGATTTTACCCCAGCCGTTACTGGTGAACACATGCGAGGGTGTCAGGCCAGACATAAAGCTATCACCCCTGCAACCCTCGCTGCATCTTACTGATCGCCTTCGCAAACGCATTGCAGTTGATTACCTTCTTCGCGAGCGAATTGGACTTCGACTAGTTGGGAAAAGTGTGTGGGTACCCTTTCCACGAGATGCCCCTAACTCTTGTGAGAAGGTAATCGAAGGATCGATACAGCGCAATGGTAGTGATGCAACGATCACCAGTACAGGCAAAGATGAGAGAAGAAGTGGGAGCGTTGAAAATTTGCTTATTGAAGAACACATGAGCGCACAAGCGGTTCTGGATGCCTTTGTGAAATCTGTCAACGACTTCTACCATAGACAACGCTCACGATCCGATTTCGAGAACGTTTTCCAGTACAGCGTGGAAGACGAGGCAGTCTACACACGTGTGCTAGATATTGTCGGTCGGGAGTTCAATCGCCTGTTGCCATTTGCATTCTTGTATGAAATGGAAGCAGCTGAGCTGCATGCATGGTCTGCTGAGCGTGCTGTAGACACCATTCTGGGCCCTCTGAGGGAGAGTAAGAGGCAGCGTGTTGAAACTTCGGGAAGTGGCGATGATGCAGAGCCGAGCCGCCATGGCAACACTGCGTGTGAAGAGGAAAACAAAAGCGACAATCCTGAGGCTGTAGAGGTAGGCTATGGCGGCTGGAATCCGTCGGCGCACGTGCACTACAGCTATTTAGTACGTTTTTTAGTTCACTTCCCACAGATGGCATCGTTATGTTGTGCAAATCGTTGCGACGTAGCAAAAGGTGCTGTAACGACGACACCCACGACACTACGGATTCAAAAATGCTTACTAGATGTAATTAAGCAGGTCACCAAAGTCGTGGAAGAGCTACTCGTGTTTATTGATGAATACGAACAACGACTGCAACACTCCCTTTGATGCACATTATACTTGTATATACAAGAATAATGTATTGTGATCAAAAAAATATTCCATATTGCAATCTTGATAATTCTGACTTTTCCACCTTCGCTATCGAGTATCTGGCGTGTGTTGCTGTTAGCTAAGTACGTCCTACAACCTAGCACTAAAACACCAGTAATATTGAATTTTGCTCAGTCGAGGTGAAATGGACTAGATATATACATTCTCGTTGTTCATCTGCAAATTTGTTATTTTCGGATTAATTTTTGCATCCAGCCGTCTGTGCCATTTCTCTTTGTATCATCCTCACTTCTTCCTTTTCATCGAGCAACCACAAGCTGCACTCACAAAAATAGCGTGAGAAATCACAGTCCTTGATATGATGTAATTGGTTATATATTTTCCTTCTTTCTACTGTTGCGTTCATTCATCTATTTCTTGTTATCATCCGTTGCATTTGTGTTACCACCACACTTCAAGAGGGGTGATCGCGAAGGTAAAGTAATACACGATGACAGAAACTGGAGTTGAATCTTCAATACCGAAATCGCAGTCAGTGGTGTCCTCTTTGCAAAACAACGTGAATCATTCCAACAAGGAAAAGAGCGAATCTATTTCAAGAAATTGCGTATACTCATGTCGTCTGTGCCGGAAGGTGCTTTTCCATGAGATAGATCTGCTACGGCACCTCCCAAAGGCAGGCGAAGCGGGGCGGCATCCCTTTCAACGACAACGTGTTGCTGATCATAGTGGTGTTGAGGAGGATGTGGTTTGTACCAGCTACTTTGTGGACCCGGACGTGACCACATGGGTAACCAAAGAAAGCCGTGATGCAATGACCTCTGGTGAGGCGGTAGCACCAGACACGCTTTATTGTCCTAATCCTGCATGCCGCGTCAAGTTGGGGACTCAATCGTGGACGGGCACACAGTGCTCCTGTGGGGTATGGGTGACGCCAGCCTTCAAAGTATTAGGAAAGTGTGTGGATAGATTGGTCATGGGCGCATAAAATCAACTGTAGAGTACTGTCACTTCCTGAATCCTTCCCTTTTCATTGATCTTTAGGAAAAACAGGCGAGCTAACATTATAGCTAATTTTAAAATTTCAATTGTCAGTAAAAATAATCAGTACCATCACATGGAGCTTTTCTGTTTATTTCTGTTCCCATCTCATCTTTGATCTTCTTGGTTAACCCTTCTTTTGTTTTGCGCTAGTTTTTTACTCCTTGACGTAACGATCCTCACCGGGATCATCTCATCACCTGCGCAGCTCTTAGTTTCTAGGTATATTTTAGCGGTGAGACCAAATCTATTAAGTAATTTTCTTTAAATTTATTCTGAATATCAATAATACACACATAGTCAGATCCTTAAATTGTAAATATAATTCAAGACAAAACATCGCACATAGATTAACACTTTTTTATAAATTCTGTAAGTATTAGAAGCACATAGTTAAATCGGTATTAACACATTTTTTTTTTTAGGACTAGGACTTGGACGTTATACTTTAATTGTGAATAATATTCTTTTGTCTATCAGAACGAGTTGGGTGTTTAAGAACCGAAACGATTAGAAAACAGAACGAAGTTTAAGTAGCGAATATGTGCGATGTAAATATATCTAATAAATGGCCAACACTCGGTTCCGCCTCTGATGAGGACACTCATATAGATACTGTAACATCTACTCATATCGCTTACTTCAATCAGTGGATGAAAGTCAGTAGCAGTGATAACAAAACATGGGAGCAACCAATCTACAGCAGCGCTAACACGCAACAGGACAACACCACCGTGAGTCACGCCATGAACGATGTCGAGAGCATTGAAAGAGATCAGCAAGTATGTCGACTGAACTTTGCCCTCAGTACAATGGGGTCATCTTTCACAGAGACCGTAGGTTCAATTTGGCATGAGGCGATCCGTGAAGAGTTTACCAATGGTAAAAATGAGACACATTCGTGGGAGGTAGGTGTTTTACGTAGTCTTGAGTGGTTATGTCATGGCGTGCATGCGGCAACTGGGACTAAGCTGAACTTTCCGTCGCAGAAGCTTGTGCAAAACGCACTTGAGCACGTCGTGCAGCGTGAGTCATCACCATCCCAAGCGATGGCGGTCAATAAGGACGCTGATACTAACTCATCTTGTGTGTGGTCGCTACCACCGAATTTTATAGCCCCGATGCACAGCCATCAAGATGCAGGCATCTTTCGTCCGGCGTTAGTGTTGCTGTTGTTCCATCGACAGGCAGAAGTGCGTGTACGGGCACGTGAATTTTTATTGGATTGTGTGGATCATGCTTCCACCGCAGCTCCCGATTCCCTGATCTCGGGAACATCTTGTAAGCCCAAAGAAACAGCATCGTCGCCGTCGGAATCTTCCGTAGTGTCAATGTCTGTTGCAATATCAGAGTTGTCTCCAGATGATCGTCCACAACTTAATATCAATGAATACGATAGTGATACCAGAAGCGCCAAGGCAGACGCCCCTACCCTGTTGGGCCATCCATCGCAAAGGTTGTTCGATCCAACATGCATGGAGAAAGCCTTGATAGAGCACCGTCTCCAGGCACTCTGGCGACTAAGCTTGGAACTGTTGTGTGTGCTCAAGCATCTCACACAGGTTCGCTTTCTGCACCTGCAGGACAATTCCCATGTTTCTCCACTGCCCCCTCCCCAGGGACCCCCTCACTCGTTAGAGATAACAAAGTTAATGGCCGAGGGTGTCTATCACCTCTTTGTGGTTTTGACTGTCCTGGATCAGCGCATTACCAAAATAACCAACGACAAGCCTGCCTTATTGCAGAAGTCCACCAGTAATCACCTTTCGAAGCTCCCACATCCCGTCACAGCCCTGCTGCTTGGAGGTTCCATGAGCCTTGAATGGCTCTTTGGTGCCCATGAGGACCTCGTGAAGGGTATATCTTCCAGCTTCACATTCTCCCTGTTGCACTCTATATCAGGCTATGACGACAAAGCAAAGGAAGAGGAGGTTTCTCGTTTGGTACACTTCAGCGCCATGCGGGATCTTGTAGAAGGCCTCAATAATGGACTTCGCCACGATCAAACTCTGCAGCCGAGCTCTCTCGCTACACAGGTCAAAAAAGTGCTTGTCAAGGTACTAATCCACGCGCTTTTGCAATATACGCGAGTGCCAAGGGCTTCTTCGCTGCTATTTTCCCCACTTTTACTAAGCAAGGAGGAGCTGGATTGGCGCATGAAGCGACTGAAAAGCTGTTGGTGGTTAGCAGGTGCCCTCGATTCACCCCCCTCTGTTAAATCGGATTCCGTTGATGAGCCTAGTGCTGGATTAAGTGGCGGAGGTGTCCCAGAGACTGCCGTGACGCCTCAGCGGACGTGTTTGTGTTGGCTTTTAGAACCTCTCCTGAAAAACGCCTACATACAGTGGCATGTGGATAAGGTGGTGATGGAGGCACGAGCGCGTTCTACTACCACTACGCCCATATTAGATAGGAAAGACAAGCTGGCACAGCCCACTATGTTGGAGTGCACCCTCTACTCTTATTATTTGCTCTTCTGCACTCTAATCAAGGCGATGCCAAATGTTGTGGCTTCAACTTTTTTCCATAATGTCCTTGAAAAGCATGAGCAAACGATAAATGCGTTGGCTGTAGGTGGTGTTCTTCGACACGGCAGCTCGCATGCCATTTACCTGTTTGAGTTCTTGTTTCAAGCAGATCTGCTAGCCTTTAGTGACGCAGGTCGCATCCGGCTGTGGGACGTGCAGGTAGTTAATAAGTTACCTGCATTGCAAAGGGTGCTAGGAGACGCGTGGACGAATTCGACCAAAGTAACAGTGAAAACCAGGCCGTTGTCGTTCTTGGAGAGAGCATGGGTAAACTACCCAGCTGTATTGAAACATTTTTTGAAAGATTACCACTTGAATAGGTACCCGAACGTGTTGGAGCAGCTCATTGGTGTGCTACATGTCTTTGTGGATATGTCGGTGTCTGTCTCACGGTGTAGCCAGTGGTTGCTACTTCTCCCTGAGGACCCCAACTGGCCGATGCCACTAAGATTATGTTTAACAAAATTTATCGAACAGCTCATCAAATTCTTTGAGGTGCACGGGCAAGTAATCACGAAAAAGTGGGCCGCTTCTGACCCTTCTGGAGCTCTTTCACGTTTACTTACCTCTGGTCTCGATATCCCGTGCATAGTGTGTCGCTTGCAGTATGCTCGAAGCACCCAATTGCGGCACCTTGCTGATCTACTCAATGATATTTTCCTTAATAGCCTTGGACCAACTGCGCGGTTGACTTTCGCATCTGACGCTGCCCAATGGTTGTGGCAAGATGTATTACTGCACCAGGAGCCCCTGATGGAGTTTGCGCAGGGTGATTATTGGCTCCAGCTTAACATCACGAAGATGGACAATCTCGCGAGGCAGCAGGGTAGGCAGTGGTTGCGAGTTTTGACGGCGTGCAATTGGTACTCTATGCGAACGGAAAGTAGAGACTGTAATGCGTCACGTTCACCTACACTTTCTTGGGATTACACAGTGGCGTCAGCGTGGTGGATGGCCTCTCTGCTTGTGGATGTTGTAGTCCTGGACGCAGACGAAAGGGTGGTGTTGCTGAAACAAGTCATCACGGAGCTACCGCAGCCACCGTTCTTATGTTTGTCCCGAGATGTGGACAAGCTTTACAAGATTGTGAAGCATCTATTTTTGTGCCTACTCGAAAAACATGTGTCTTACCCACGCGATGCTCTTCTTGGTGCGCTGCTGCACGTGGCGAGCATGCTTCCGAGTGGGAAAGCTGAGGCAGACATCCAGTTGGGTAATGCGGCGAAGCAGCCCATGATGGCCCTCCTGGACCGATCTCTGTTAGAAGGTCGTCAAACACTGGACCGCTATGCACCTGGATGGCTCACCCGCATCATCCAATCCGCGACTTGTGCTATCAATGAGTCTTTGACAAAACAACGTACGTCCTTTGAGCGGTTCGAGTTGGAAGAAAAGCAGTTGGCAATCACAAATGAAGTGAAGAGAGTACAGACTGCGTACGATGCAGAGGCGCGGCAGTTGTCCGAGACAATGAGGGTGCAAGAACTAAACTCAGCCCGTGCTTTGGTAATGTCCAAGATTCACGACATAAACCGCAACGTCCCAACAATTGTTTCCAGTGATGAAAGATCACACAAACCACCGTGGATGGAAGATGAAAGCAACTCTGATTCCTCCTCTTGCTCAGTTATTGCTGTGGAGGGCTCTATCGTCCAACCGCGTAGCCTATCCACTGGGGAAGCAAAGTCCTTGTTGGTGGCATTCGATCCAACGGAGGTACAAGAAGGGTTTCTTAACAGATCAAATTCATCGACAGGTGCTGTTGGGTCGGTACAAACCGTTCGGCAACGCCTTCTACAGGCTATTAATGATAACAAAGTACGGAAAATACGCTTTAGTGAATATGAGAATGAAATCTTGAAAAAGATGCAAGGCATCGTTCGTCGCACAACAATTATGAATCGCCAGCCTCAAGTATATGACATTATTGGAAAAGCACCGTGTTGCCTAGCGGAAACTGTGCCAAAGTTGCTGGACGTGTACGTGGCTAATACTGAAGAGACAAACGATAACGAGAGTCCTTTGACCAGCCGATCTTCACCATCTTTTGCAACGTATACTCATGTGAACCATCACGCTGCCACG